GGAGGGAAGGGGGGAAGGAAGGGGGGTAAGACGCACCCGTGGCGAGTGAAGCAGACACCAGAGATAAGAGAGTGCGGGTACCCCTCACAGGAATAGACCCAGATAATACATCAGGGGTGTCTATTTGTTGTTAATATAACTGGCCCCTTATGGCCTGTTGGATATAGTAGTGGTTGGCGGCGACGTGGCCGCAGCCGGGTTGCGAAACGCGTTACTAACTAGCTGCACAGTCCACCGATGGCGAAAAGGCGAAACAGCAAAATAACTACCTAGCGGCCGCCGAGCTGAAAGAAAGACGTTGTAAAGAGAGGGGAGGTGCGGAGGAAACCGTAGTGGACGGCAGTGAAGAGTAAAAAGCTAAATGGGCGGTGAAGAGGAAAGGGTATCGCGAAATGTATGGATGTGTGTGTATCGGAAGGTATACGCGAACCTGGTAACTTTGAACTATATTTGAACTATATTTGAACTATATTTGAACTATATTTGAACTATGTTTATCCCTCCTGCTGATTTGCCGTTAGCGGACATGCAAGAGCTCCTCCCTAGCCCCGTCGCTAAACACGGCCCAACACTGAACCAGCCAGCCAACCAACCCATCCAAAAGAAAGGGGAGAAGGGGGAAAGGCAGGGGGGATGAAAGCGGGGTTGGTAAAAGGGGGGATATGCCAGGGCGGGGGACCTGTGTGTAAAGGAGGTACTTGTAGTGCTTGTGTTCTTATGTGGGTTTTGTTGACGAGCTTGGCGGGGGGCCCCCGCGGGGGAGGGCGTTCGTTGGGTGGGGGATTTGGTGTGATGGTGATGGTGGTGTTGCGTGTGCGTGTGCGCGTGTTTGGGTGCCCCTACACCTCACGTGTCTTGGCTCGCCCTCATGGCTTTGTAGCCCCCATCACGCCAAAACTTATGCCACTCTTCTTTTCCCCACATTACACATTACACATAACAACACCCCTTGCATGCGTTATTTCCCCTCCCCTCCCCCTTCCAGTTCAAACTTGTTTCCACAATGGTATGATTTTTTTCGAGGCGTACGTATGTATGTATGTATGTATGTATGTATGTATGTATGTATGTATGTATGTATGACTTAAATTACACTGTGGGCCGCGAGAGCCGGGGGCCGAAGCCGAAACACAGCGCAAGGGTCGGGAGCACACACCGTACGTATGTATGTATGTATGTAGGGTCAAACGGCGGCTGGGGTGATGCGTCGTATGTTGGCAGCGGCAGTGCGGGCGCTGGGGGCGCTGGTTTCGGCGCTACTGGCACCGGCTGTGCTGGGCGTGCTGCGCGTGATGGTGTCAGGTGTGTGTGGAAGGGGGGGGTGGGGAGAGGGGAAGGAGGGTGGGGGATACATACACATATACATGCATACACACACATATACACACATACATACATATATACATGTATATACACACACATACACACACAGGCAGGCAGCCAGCCAGCCAGGCAGGGGGCTCCGCACCTTACCGTCGGCCGCGGCAGCACTTGACTCCAGCTTCACCCACGATCAGCTTAGGAGCGTACCAGAAGAGCAAATACCCGCCTCCCCCGGCTCACACATACAAACATACGCACCTGGGGCTCCGTTTCCTTGAACCACGGGGGGTCGATTACATTACATGCCGCTTAGGACTGTATGAATGTATGTGTGTATGTTTGTGTGTATGTTTGTGTGTATATGTGTGTGTGCTGTGTATCTATGTGTGTGTCCGTGCGTGTGTATGTGTGTATGTATGTGTGTATTGGCTGTTTACCCGCAGGCATCGCAATGAGCTGGTATGCCAACCACTGGATAGCGTACGCCAGTTTCTTACCGTTATCGTTGGCGGCTGCCGTACGCCCCTGGTTGCGTTTGAGGGAGGAGGCGATGGAGCGGGCAGCCGGGCAGCAGGGGCATTACGTGGCGTGTCAGGTGTGCGTGTGTGTGTTTTGGGGGGGGTGCGGGAAGAGGGGAAACAGTGGTGGTGGTTTGGGGAGGGTCCATTGTTACGAGCTTATGACGTGTATGTGGCAGTACTTATGTATGTACGTGCGTACGTATGTAAGTACAGCACAGTCAGCGAAAAGAAGGGGGGCCAGAACCGGAAAGACGTCAAACACACGCATGTATGTATGTATGTATGTGCTCCCAACCCGTGTGTATTGCCGTACATGTACTGCAGGTGTACGGTATTGGCCTGGTGCTGTCGGTGCTTGCTGCAGGGTTGTGTTTCATCGGCATGCAGGGTTTCAGTCAGGTGTTTGCGATGGGGGGGTTGCTGGCATTTGTGGTTGGCAGTTTGCTGGATAACGGAGCGGTGAGTTGGGAGTTGGTGGTTGGCAGTTGGAATGCGAGGAGGGGAATAAAAAGGACGTGCTCAGGACGTGCCCGGAGGCGGGGTGTGGAGCGCCAGGAGGCTGTAGCCGGAGGAGTACGGAGTAGGAGTACGTGCATTCCTCCTCAACATGTAGGCCGCCCAGCTACTTCTTCGCCTCATAAGCCCCTCCTCTTGCTGACCGCCCCGTGGGTCGGGTTGGGTAGGGTTGGGTTGTTCTCCCCCTTCTCTGCCCCCTTCCCCCTCC